GTGGATGAAGCCAAGAATCAAATCAATGATTTGAAACATAAGGAAGCAAAAAACAACCAATCAGAACAAGAAGAAAAAAGAAAACAAAAACAAAACAAAACAAAAAACCACACAAAGATAGTGTAAGCAGCCTCTGGAACAACTTCAAGAGGTCCAACATTTGCATCAGAGGGGTGCCAGAAGAAGAGAAAGAGCAAGAAATTAGAAATCTATTTGAAAAAATTAGGAAAGAAAACTTCCCTAATTTGGTGAAGGAAAAGATATGAAAGTCCAGGACGCACAGAGTCCCAAACAAGATGGATGCAAAGAGGCCCATCCGAAGACACATCACAATTAAAATGCCAAAGGTGCCCTGGCTGATGTGGTTCAGTGGATTGAGTGCTAGCCTGCAAACCAAAAGGTCCCAGTTTGATTCCCTGTCAGGGCACGTGTCTGGGTTGAGGGCCAGGTCCTTGGTTGGGGATGTGTAAAAGGTTTCTCTCCCTGTCTTTGTCTCCCTCCTTTCCCTTCTCTCTGAAAATAAATAAATAAAATCTTTTTTTTTTTTTTTTATGCCAAAGTTTAAAGATAAAGAGAGAATCTTAAAAGCAGCAAGAGAAAAGCGGTTAGTCACCCACAGGGGAGTTCCCGTAAGACTGTCAGCTGTATCTCAAAAGAAACTTTGCAGGTTAGAAGGGATTGGCAAGAAATATTCAAAGTCATGAAATGCAGGGATCTATGACCAAGATTGCTCTACCCAGTAAAGCTATCATTTAGAATCAAAGGGCAGATAAAGAGTTTTCTAGACAAGGAAAAGCTAAAGGAGTTCTTCATCACCAAACCATTATTATAGGAAATGTTAAAGGGACTTATTTAAGAAAATGATCAAAACTATGAACAATAAAATGGCAATAAATACATATTGACAATTGAATGTGAAAAACAAACTAAGCAAACAAGAACAGAGACAGAATCATAGATTTGGAGAGCATTTTGATGGTTGCCCAATAGAAGGGAGGTAGGGGGGAATGGGTGAAGAGGTGAGGGGATTGAGAAGTACAAATAGGTAGTTACAGAATAGCCATGGGAATATAAAGTACAGAATGGAAAACGGAGTATCCAAAGAACTTACATCCTGACCAATGGACATGAACAAAGGTATGGGGATTTCTGAGGGTATGGGGGGTATTGGATGGAAGGGGGCAAAAAGGGAAAAATAGGGACAACTGTAATAGCATAATCAAAATATAATTTAAAAAAAGAAAAGCACTATGGGGAAAAAGTTTAAATACCCCTCAAATATTTGAGAAGAGCATGACCTGTGATAAATTCAATGAAACTAGTGGATTAGAAGCAGTTACAATTACAATTTCAGAAAATTCAAACAGGATTTAGTTGATGAACTCAACAGTGTAAAACAGGGTCTCTCAACTTCAGCACTACTGATATTTTGGGCTGTATGGCTCTGTTGTGGGGAACTACCCTACTCATTGTAGGATATTTAGCAGCATTTCTGGCCTCGACCCACTAGATAGCAGTACTGTTCCCTCTTGGTTATGAGACCCCAAAATGTTTCCAGGCTTTGCTAAATGTCCCATGGGGCAAAATTACTTGGGATAAGAGCCAATGGGACGGTGTCAGCATCAGTGCTCATCCTTACTATCCAATGGGTTCCAAAAAGCAAAGTGACTACAGTTAAAAACATTTCACCGAGAAGAGTTTATGACTCAGGAAAAAGTAATGATCTGAGTTTTCCCCTCACCTTTTTAAATGTTGTTATCTAAAGGGGAAAACACAACACACCCAAAACAGAACCATACCATTTTCATGCCTTGTTCTTGCTGGCAGTCTTTAAAGTTCCTAACTCACAGGCCAGGCCAGAGAAAACATTACCATATGAGTACACTTCGCGCTCAGCCAACTCTAGCATTGCTGGGTGTGGTTCCTCTTTAGTGATGGTAAGGAAGTACTTTTATGCACTCTCTTTGGTCTAAAGGTAGAAGTTATTACGGTAGATACACAAATCTTTAAGGCTCTTTCAGTGGAAATACTACTAAAACCCAACCAAACAGAATATTGGTGGGAAATTTATATCCTACTTAAAGGGTCTTAGACAAAGCTTTTTTTCAACTCACCTATTGTAGTAAATCTTTGTACTTTAGCACAGAATGCTGAACAAAACCACATTTTCTTAATTAAGAATATTGAAAGCCCTGGCTGGTGTGGCTCATTGGACTGAGTGCCTATTTGTGAACCAAAGCGTCACTGGTTCGATTCCCACTCAGAGTCCATGCCTGGGTTGCGGGCCAGGTCCCCAGTATGGGGTATGCGAGAGGCAACCACACACTGCTATTCCCCTCCCTCCCTTCCCCTCTCTAAAAATAAATAAAATCTTTTTTTAAAAAAGAATATTGAAATACAATAAAAAATTAATAAAGAATTTTGCAGTGCTTCATGATTTATGAAGATCAATTATGACTAAACAGTATTAAAGATTCAGAAATGCAGAGACCCAGCTGAATCTAAAAATCATGCCAGGTTATATGTACTACAGGAAACATATCTTTCTAATAGAATGAGTTCAATAGTCACCTTATTTGACTCATCCCTAAAAATAAGAGCACCACCAAAATCATTCTCATTACCTGAAGGTTTTAATTACATGTTCCAGTTTAATAAGGCTTTCTTAATTGGCAATATTTATTTGCCTTAGATTCCTTATTATTCCAAGACATAAGAAGAGTTAATCTACTCCTTTGCTTATCTGCCTACTAGACCAGTAGAGCCTGTTTCCTGATTTGTAATATTCGTTAGCTGTAAATATATCTCAACATATTCTAATAATCAAAATACATGCCAATAAAAAACAATTTTTTTGAAATTTGCAATGAAGAGCATGGACTTCTAATACAAATATTGATACTACAAATTGTATTTCCTGTATAGTAACAAACCAATTCAAACTTAAACAACCACCTACAGGGAAATTTGGTTATAAATTAGTATGAAAAGTAGACTTGGATTTTTTTTTCCCAATTGTTGTCTCCCTACTCAAAGAATTAAATCAGAACCTGTGGGTGGGTCCCAAGCATTGGCAGGTTTTAAAAACCCGAGGTTATTCTAATGTGCAGTAGTGCTGAGAACTACAACACTATAGCAACGAAATGATTCTTCTTTTAAATAAAAGCTTTCCCCTCTCTTTTCCCTCTTGATATTTTTTTTTTAGAGAATACGCTCTAAAATGTCAAAGACAACATGGGAAAGTGTTTTAAAGTTGAGACTAACTTTAATGTAGTTGTTATTTGAACAACTCAGGATGAAACACAAGGCTGTAGAAACTTCAACAGGCACACCTAGCATTATAGGTAAATTCTAAACCAGCTTTCAAACAAGTTCACACAAGCTAGGCCTCCCTAAGTTACTTCATAGGAATCTTAGAAGAATCCGTGACCCCAAAAAATAAATAATGTTGTATGTGACTGAACTGTTAATGACCACTGGGGAACTGCGGAGGTAGAATAAACTTTATACGTCTTGCTTCTTACAATTCTCTATTATTTTATTTTAAATAATTAGTGTGACTATATCCTTTATTCTACGGTTTGGAAATCATAAAAATGAAAAATGCCATGTGCAGCACCAATTTTTTAAAAGCCTATTCTAAACGAGTCGTATTTAGTAAAACTGAGAAAATTATGCTCGTACACCTCATATTTATCCTCTATTATTATTTTTCTTAATTTCATGTTTATGCCAATGAGAAAAACCGTAGCTAATAAAACAATGTGCTGTCCCAGTGTAATGGCTTCGTTTTGGAGAGAACTTTTCATCCATGCGTTTCCTTCGGTTAAAGCGGCAACAACAAGGGATTTTCTAGACCACAGTACAAGCCAGTTTCTGTGGGGTTGAAAAAAAGTTCTAATTTTAGAATTTCCGTACATTGCAATGCTAAGTAACTGCCACGGATTAAAACTACGTAGGTTTTGCCTCTCCAAAAACAAGTCAGAATGTGAAATCATGTTTTTGGTCCGTTAATTTTTTTTCTCCCTTTCACAAAACATTCCACCCAACTCTGTAATCAAATTTAAGGGCTGGCCTTTATTTACTAAAAGATTCTTCAAACGACGCTGTTTCTTTTTCTTGCCTTTGGATTCCGCAAGTAAAACTACTGGCAATTCCAACAGCACGCAGGTTAAGCAAAACTAAAGCCAGGTAAGTGACCTAAGTCGTATCCATGAATTTATGGTGACTCTGCATTTGGTTTTTATTTAATGTTTACTATTTTTTTGTCTTCAGGAAGGCAAAAGAACAGCGTACAGTGCCAAACGTACTAAGAGAACTTCCTAAAAGATAATTTAGGCCACGTTCTTTTTATCCCCTTAACGGAGATACAGTGTGTGCTTACAATCAGCTTTCTTAATACTTCTTGTCTGTTTCAAGGTCGTTAGGCTAAAAAACAAAGTATCCAACTCTAAAACGCTTCGCAGCCCTGCAAGCTCTTCCAAAAAGGCTGGACCATCAAAAAGCATCTGCCTTCCCGCGCCCTCCGCCCGTTAACAAGGCCAGAGCCACCGGGCCCAAGGGTCCCGGTCCCCCAGCGTGCGAAGCGCCCAGGCAAAAAGAGGGCAGCAGGCTCTGCCCAGGGCGCGTCAGAAGCCAGTGGACGGCGCCCCCGCGACCACCCGCCCCCGGGGCAGCCCCAGAGGGTGCGGGGGCGCCAGACCCGCAGCAACAGCCCAGACGGGCACTAGCGGCCTCCTCGGGGCGCAGGGCCCGACCCCCAAAGGCGGCCGCTCCCAAGAGGGGGCCGAGCAGGGCGCCGCCCGCGTCCGACCGACCGGGGCCTGCAAGCAGCCCCCCAGCCCCACATTCGCGGGCCGAGGGACCCGGTGAGGGGCACGCGACTGCAGCCCTGAGACAAGGAGGAACGGCGGTGCCGACGGGCGGTCTCCTCCAAGCTCTACCATGGAGGGCAGCGGAGTTGGCCATAAAGCGAGCCCGGGGGAAATGAGGCGCCTCACCTGCTCCTCCTGAGGCTGCCGCTACCGCTCGCTGAGGAGAAAACATGGAGCCTCAGCTTTCAGCAGAAGCAGCAGGGGCTCAGAGAGGGGAGGGCTTGGGCGGGAACGAACGAGGCCTTGGAGGCGAGAAACGGGCGGGGCCTGGGCTGTGGTAGAAACTGAGGAGGAGGGGTGCGCGGAACCGCGAGGGAGCGAGCACAGGGCGGACGGGCGAGGCCCGACGGGAGGCTGGGGCGGGAAAGCGCACGCGGCCGAATCCGTCCACCGCCGACGTGGGCGCGCGTGCGCGGGAGCACGAAGCGCGCCGCCGTCTGCTTGGGACTGCGCACTGAGAGCGACGGTCCGTTACGGATGGTAGTGCTCAGATCTCTGGGTCCCTTCCAGCTCTCCCGTTCTGCGCACTCATCCCGGGAGGGGAGGAAGCAGAAGAGAAGGATGGGGCTTCTCGCGGCTCTTCGACAACTGAACTACAATTCCCAGCAGGCCTTGCCAGGAAGTGAGGGCCGGCCCGGGCCGGAGCCCTGAAGGGCCGGGTTCCTATAGCGATCTTCGCCGGACCGAGCCCTTGGGATAACCGGGTTCGAACACCTATCGAACACATGGCGGCCGCGTTTGAGATGGTTTTGGTGTTTAACGCTGGCCGGGTCCAGAGGTGGGCGGCACCGGTCTTTTAATGATTTTGACTGAACAGGGAGTGGAGACTGTGACTTCATCACCCCGTATTCCCGTCCCTGGCCACGCCTAGTGGTGTACTCTCACCACTCTTAGCTAATATAAGAACTTCCCAGCGAAACCGCTTCCTCCGGCTTTGTCCACCCTAAGCCATGGCCATCTTTTGTTAACCTCAGGTTTGCAAGAGCTTTTTTGAAGCTGCTTTTGCAAGCCCATTCTTAAGCTGTAGAGTAGATCAACACAAGAATTTGCGCCCTGGCTGTATGGATTGAGTGCGGGCCTGCGGACCAAAGGGCCGCGGGTGGATTCCGAGTCTAAGGCACATGCAGGCCAGGTCCCCAGTAGGGGGCGCGTGAGAGGCAGCCACACATTGCTGTTTCTCTCCCTCCCTTCCCCTCTCTAAAAATAAATTTAAAAAATAAAATTTAAAAAAGAAACAATTTCCGAAAATGCTTTTAGCCACACTTCACATGTGACTGAGAAAATGTCAGTTGCCATAATTAAAAGATGGTGTTATTTTGGATTTATCAGGGTAAGGGCAGTTCTTGTGGACGCAAGGAGCTTATGGGAGGCTAAAGCATCCGTCACACCACCACCTCCTCTTGGCATCATCACCATTGCCTCATTCGTTTGGCACTCTTCCTTCTGCCTCTGTCTGAACTATTATAACCTACCTAGAACCTCCTTCCAGCTACCTCTAGGCCCTGCCAAGTCCTTAAGTTGTTTTTAACAGCTAGTGATTAGGTCAGACGTGAAGAGGTAAAGATAATTCTACCTAATCTAACCTAAAGAAATCCTATGTGATCTTTCCCCTGCCCCTTCTGATTCTCCCCAAACTCTCAAGATTATTTGAATACCCTCATTCAGGCTTTAGATTGAAGAATCTAGATTTGATGTAGGCTAGCAACAAACTAGACATGAACAGCAGGGCAAGTGGTTACTAGAGTTTCACACTGGGTGCAGAAGACAGGACCTACAGGATGTGACACAAATCTAGGACATTGTTTGGCAGATTCAGAGAGGGGGCTAAAGGTCAATGGCTCAGAATTGCAACATGCAGTGTTAAGAATTTAAAATTGTACACACCCCAGCATTTTCTATTCCCTTTCCCTGTTGATCTCCATAAGATTTATTATCTGACTTGTTTTCTTGTTCTTTTTGTTTATCTCTTCCCACTAGAATGTAAGTTCCAAACAGACAGGATTGTCTGTTTTTGTTCACTGCTGCATCCCCAGTGTCTCAACAATGCCAGGCAGATAGTAAAAACTCAAGTATTTATTAAATGGATGAATAAAGAAGGAACATATTACAACTAACACTGCTCACTCACTTTCTTGTTCCTTCAATTTCAAGTACCTACTTTTGTATTGGAACAAATGTCCTATTCTGTTTTAAGGGCTACCAACAGATACGCACTGAAAGCCATCCTGTCAGGAAGTGACCAGCAAATACTGATGGGACATCCATCTCAATATAACATTACCAAGGAGAGCGTTAGCAATATCAACCTTTTCCATACCTTGTAGAAATTTTGGGCATTTGGAACAACACAGTACAAATTATAGGTAGACTTTAATGAGAAACATGTTTTGTTGTTATTGTTGCTATTTCCTTCTCAATGTTCCAAGGTCATCAAAACAGTGCATATTCAAAGTGGTAAATATTGGTGGTGCTCATTACAGCCTGCCCTTAGCCATCTCACTGTGAATTGAGTCATGATGTGACCAGAGGCTGAGCTTCGCTCGTGGTTTTCCGTAAGCAGGTGACATGCAGACATGTTTGAATGGTTCAGGCCACTGGCTTTAAATTCTGGTCCTGATGCTCAGTAGCTGCACAAACTTTGAGTGAGTTACTTAACTTTTTTTTTAACTCATTTCATCATTGTCTGTCAAATGATTTGATGACTAAAATGACTTGACTACTCACAGAGCTGTAAATTAAGTGAGATGTGTCTGGCAATTATGACTGATGCATGGTTGGCGTTCAAAAATTGGTAATCATCATTCATTCTGAGAAAACAAAACAAAGTCATTAATATTCAGGATACTCAGGTGCTTTGATGAAGCACAAAAATAGCAAAATTGTTTTCTGCAATTATATCCACTGTGACTCAGGTTACAAAGCTTTGAAAAATAGGGCATTTGTTATATACCAGGCACAGTGCTAGACAGTAATGCTGCAGCAATGCATAAGACACATTCCTGTCCTACAGAGACTCACAGTCTTGTGGGGTAAATAGCCAAGTAAATAATCACTCACTGTGACTGTGCTGGGACAGTTCAGCCTTTTCTCCTACTACCTACTTGCAAAATCCATGTTTAAGCAATAGTATGGGCACTCAGAAAGGATAGCCTGGACTACTGGCATCCCTGGGAATTACTTAAATACAAATCTTTCTTTGTCATGTAAAAAATGAGGTAATGACTCGATGTCCTAGTTTATGGAAAGAAAATAGTCAACCCCAACTCACAGGATATTATAAAGCTGATTATCAGTCCCTGAACATGGTAACACAGTAAAAGCTCAAGACTTGTCAGCTGCTTCATTATTGTTATTTCAGCCAACAGAACAGCTGTCCAACACTTCAGGAAGACACCAGGAAAGATCCCTAGAATTTACTCTTAAGGAAAGGAAGCACGATACCTAATGGTATGTATCGCACGCTATCGTTTGTACTAAAAAGGGTGGATGAAGATATAGATTTGCTTTATGCACCTTTGCATTTGCCACAAAAAGCTTCAAACATTTGTTACTCATGTATATATAGAGGGAGAAACTGGTAGGTGAGAGGTGAGAGGGATCAGTATAGAAGAAATTATATAGGATCCTGTATGTACTTTTGAAAAATATATATGTATGTGTGTATATGAACACATATATGACATGTGAATATATTTTAAAATGTTTAATTAAAATACATACTATTTTTCTAAAAGTCAAGAAAAAAATGGGGTAATGAAATGGCCTAGAAGCTGAGGTGGGAAATTTGCTGTGTAAATATCAATCCCACAAGGACAGGGCCAAGGAAGAAGAGGCCCATCCCAGTGCCTCAGCATTAAAAATTGCTCAATATCCTTGGCTGGTGTGGCTCAATGGTTTGAGCGCTGGTCTGCGAACCAAAAGGTTGCTGGTTTGAATCCTGCTCAGGGTACATGCCTGAGTTGCAGGCCAGGTCCCCAGTTACGGGGACAAAAGAGGCAACCAACTGATGGTTTCGCTCACACACCTATATTTCTGTCCCTCTTTCAAATCCCTCCCTCCCCGTCTGTAAAAGTAAATAAATAAATAAATAAATAAATAAATAAATAAATCCTTTTTAAAAAAATTGCTCCATAGAAGTCCTGAGCAGTGACTCTCCTCTTGGGAGCCCTTTAAAAATCTCATAGGGGTCCTTCCCTGCCTGAAAACTTTCACTAAATCCCCATCAGCCTTAGGACCAAGCCTCAGTTCTTTGGTTCTATATTACTGCTTCTTCTCACTCTGGGCCCAACACATCTTCCCCATTTTATCTCCCTTTTGTCCCGGTTCAAGCCTTTGGCTCTAGCCAACCTGGCTTAACCACACCCAAAACACCATATACACAGGCACATTTTGAGCCTCCAGTCACCACACATGGCCTAGGTGTAACATATACTAAGGCAGCCTGTGGCGGGAAAGAGCAAGAAGGTATGGGATCTGGGCTCCTTGTGCTAGATAAGCCAGCACTGAAATTCACCGTGGGCTGGGTTGGGAGGAAGGGGTGCGTTTTTGTGATTGGTCTGCTCACAAGGTCTTCCTGTGTATTTGCTTCACTCCATTCTCCCCCTGCCTTCAATGACCTCTTTACTACTCCAAACTCCTACCTGACTTTGGGCATCTTCATAAAACTTCCCAAAGCCACTATAACTTCATAGTGATCCCCTACCCTCTTAAATTCACACAGTTCACTTGCCATCTAATTATAGCATTTGAGGTTTGTGTTGTTTTGGAATTGTTTCTGGTTGCTATTTAATTTGCATTTTTTAACTTCATGTGAGTATGTCCTAAACCTCAACTAGCTTGTAAGCTCTGTGAAGACAGGATAAACATTTTTTGGATACCTCCAGATTTTCCAGGATAGTGTCACACGCACAGCAGGTGATCAGTAAACATCTGTGGACTAAATTATGTATACAAATAACATCCCAAGCAAGAGTCAGTCTTGCTTACTGGGAATTTTACTGGTAAAGCAAAAGAGAGTAGGAAGGAAAGGTAGCTTCAAGATTTGGACCTAGCACAAATGTCTCATGTAAAAATCTGAAGGTTCTGAAAAGACTACCCAGACCACATTAGTACTTTGATTCTTAGCTTTTTTTCTCTGCTCCTAGATATCATGGAAATGGGTTTCCACATATCTAGGGTCTCCAGATTCTAGCAATTGCTGTTAAGGTTAGGGACTAGCATCATTCACTTCCTTTTCCAGCACCTACTAACATAATTTTTTAAAATTTACGCATTTACCAGAATGGGCTTAGTCATCTGCTTGGCTCGTATTTCCCCTCGCCATCTAAAGGACAGATTGCTGCATTATCGACTGATGCTGTAAGTACCAGAGTAAGATATTTGCCACAAAGTTATTTTGGGAAATATCCTTCTGTTCCTTTTTTTCAGAGTGTTGCAATAGCCAAGAGTTTTCATCTTGCATGGGCTTCACCTGACCTTAAAAATTGTCAAGGGCAGACATAGTCTACTGTCTGTTCCAGAAGATTTCCCCTAGTCAGATTGCTTTTCCTTTCAGTGGCTGCCTGGCTGAGTACCTCATCCTTCATGAGAAAGCATCTTTACAGGATCTGCTGATCCCACAATTGCCCGTTGGGTCATCGATTATGGCTTTAGCAATAACAAAGCCTACAGCCTTGATTTTTATTATTTGCAGTCTACATCCCCCTTTGTAAAAGAATTATGCACATTTCAAATATTTTGACCACATGTAGAGAAAAGGCTTTGAATTTTGCACACCAACCTAAGACAAGCCAAAAAAATAACAAAATAAGCTAGATATCTGGTTTCAAATACATTTTCTGATAAGGACCCCTTTTAGGCTATGAATAAAATTCAATCGTGAATTTTGTGACTTATTCTCAATTTTTAGTACCACACTTTACCATCCCCCCCAATCATAGCCAAGATGTTATCTCCTGGCTCTCGTTTTTTCAGTAGCTCAAATTTTTATCCTTTGAAATTTGTCTTCTCTACCTGATCCTCTATTCGCAGGAAAGGTCCACCTTAAGACTCAAGGTGGACCAGACACCCCTCTGGGAACAGTATGAAATTTGAAACAGGTTCTGAGGCTGCACTGCAATATGATTGGAATGAGTCATAGTTTTTCAGTCTGTACAGCATCTTTCTCCAGCAACCAAATGGGAAACTGTGCCATCTCTGCCTCATGGTGATAAGATATTATGACACATCCAGAAAAATTCATAACGCACCTTGCCGAGTGGGCCTACTCCACACTGGTTTTCATTTTTCATTGGAATCACAGGTGGGAACCCATCGAACAAAAGACAATGGCTCTGGAATTGATGGGAAGGATATTCTCCACCTAATGAAAGCAAAAAAAAAATGTTTATCGTTAAAACACGTAATCTGCCTACCCTAAATCTGTCACAGTTATGAAGGAACCCTAAACCGCAGGGCCCCCTCCCGGCTTCGGTCGCAGTGTGGGCGGAGCTTGGTGCTTGGCTACGCCCCTTGTGCGGGCTGCTGGAGGGGCGCGGCGGGAAGCCAGTTTTGCCCCTCCTTCCCTGCGGGAACGCGGAGGGGCAGTTCTTGCGCCTGCGTCCTGCGTCGCTGGGCTCCTCCACGCGGCCGCCGCCCGCCCCCGCCGCCTGCCCGAGGGTCGTTTGTGCGCCTGCGCGCTCGCGCTCCCGCCCTCTCGCCGTCCTCGGCCGAGTCAGTCAGTCTGTCGGAGTCTGTCCTCGGTGCAGGAGGAGCGAAGGGATTTCGAAGACATCCCTGTCCTATTATTTTCTTTCCCCTCCCTCTTTCCCACCCCACATCTCTCTTCACCCCTCTCTCGCCCTTACGCAGCCATGGCGGAGCTGTCGGCGGCCACTCAGTCCCCTTCCGTCTCCTCGTCGTCCTCCGGAGCCGAGCCCTCCGCGCCCGGCAGCGGGAGCCCAGGAGCCTGCCCCGCCCTGGGGGCGAAGAGCTGCGGCTCCTCCTGTGCGGGTAAGGCGCGCCGGGGGAGTCCGCTCGGATGGGGGTGTGGGGGGTCAAGGGGAAGGCAGATCGCCCTCCCTTACTGGAGGCTGCAGCCCCGGGGACCGACGTCTGTAAACGGGCTAAGGGGGAGGGGAGCGTAAGGTCGTGCAGGCGGTGAGGAAATAACGGGGTGTGAAAGCAGGTTAGGGGCGGGGAGATACTCTGGAGAGTGGGCATTAACGCCAAGACCAGCTGGGGGAAAACACCAGATCGGGGGAGCCGTCCACTGAACCGAGGTGACTTAGGAGGAGGATTAGAGAGATTGAGAGGATTGGGCAGGTTGGCCGTAGGGGAAGTGATTAGTTACCATTTTAAAGGGATGGTGGTGAAAGGGTTGCATTGCAGGTTTCCACACAGGTGTTGACATAATCTGACATTCATGGTAGTCGTCCAAAAATTTTTTTTCGGTTGCCCGTGGGGAGGAGGAGGACGTTTAGTGGAAACGTTTCTTCTGCCTTTCTTATCTGCCTGTAATTTTTGTAGCTAGGCTCCCTAGATGCCCGATTTTCCCGAGGCTCCGAGGCAGGAGGCGTGATGAGAATGGCTCAGGCGGATTTGGGAGGGAGCCGCCGAGGGTCCAAGATGGATCCGCGGCTGCATCTGCAACACAGCCCGCTCTTCCCTGGCGCGGCGTGGGGGCGGGGACGTGCAATCAGTCGCTTATAATCTAGAAGATGATAAACAGAGTCAGGCCCCGCCGTCACCGTATTTTGATTTCACGCCTTCTGTGGGCTGCTGTGGATCGCAGTATAACAAAAGGGGGTGTTTACCGCAGGAGGAGGGGAGGGGGAGTCTCTCGGACAAAGCAGGGGCTGGGGGAACCCCCTTCTTGCATCTCTGTGAAAGACGAGGAGGGACACTGCAGGCCGCTTTTAGTTTCCATTGTATGCGCGCCTGCCGTTGGTGGGAGCTGGCTGGCGAGCTCCCCGCGGGCAGAGATCTGCAGTGCAGATGCCTTCTCGGGGAGGGAAAACGCACCCCGAGCAGGTGGTGGTTTTTAAAGGAACTCAGTCTTCGAAGAAAAAAAGGATTTTTGTCCAAGGAAGGGCTGTAGTCTTGGGCGACTGCAGATAATGTTGCTCTCCAGTTAGTTACCTTAAAAGATTTTGAGAGATTTTTAAATGCTTCATTGTCTCCTTTGCCAGCATCTTGGGTTGATCGTTATGAAAAACTTAAAATTTCTGATCTTAATTTTAAATATATTCTCTACGTGTTTTTTGAAGGGAGGGGGGGGTTCCACATAAGAACTTCAGTAGGCATATGGATTTTCCAGTGTGGTTGTGGCCATTTCAGTAGAAACAGTAGCAGAGAAAGCTGCAAGGTCAAGATTAGCTGTCCAGATAAAGGAATGAGGCAGCAAATTTAGAACCCTTGTTTTCTTTAAGCCACCAGCGTTTCTCCCTCAAATTTTTGTGTTCTGGGCAAAGGTCCAGGGGAACAGCAGCTTCCCTATAACTTAGCAACTTGGGGTTTTGGTTTTAATCACTTGTCATTGCTTGCTCTTCAGTTGCTGGCTGTTTTATACATATCTTTTGATTTTTCTTGATTTAAGATTTTTTATTCACCTGAAAAATAAATTAGATCGATTCCCTACCTTAACCTCCTATCCATTGAAAGTTTGTATTACTATTGTCTAAAAATTATTAATACCATTTTGGTGGACCCAGGATAAGAGCCTCATTTGTTGGGTTACCGCTTGAATTTAGCTTTAGTCACTGTCATGTATAGTCATCATTTTGCCACAGAAGCTTTACCCCTTGAAAATTGTTTTCTCAGTCTCTGGAACTGTCACAGGCTTCTGCACCCTGAAAATAAGATGGACTTTGTTATCCCCAAATTTAATGCATTGAAAATGGATACTAGGAAAAATCTCCCTTGCTTGTTTAAAAATCTCAATGTGTGTTGCTGTCAACCTTCAGCTTCGCGTATGTCACCAAGCCCCGCCTGGTTTTAGAGACTTTCAAAGAGTAAAAGATGAGTAAGTGGTCACTTGGTGTCCTTTAGGAAACATTTTTGTCTTGTTTGACCTGTGGAGTAACAACTTGTGAAATACCAGTTTCTCCCTAAAGATAGAGAATGAGCCGTAGCTCCCTTTGGTCCAGTGCCCGAGACACTAGTGCAGCTGACAATGTAGAGTGCTCCGAGGAGGAGGTCAGGGGCCAGGATTGGCTTCCCAGATTTCTCTCTCTGAAGGAAACTGAAGATTTCAAGGCCAAAATTTGAGGCTGAGGTAGAAGAGACTTAAATATTTAGTGTGTGTTCTTTTCAGGGTAAAAGTTGCTTTTAATAGACCCTCAAGTATAGATATACATCTGTTGTCTAAATTTTAAAAGTGCTTTATAGTTTACTCTCTCTAACTTGCTAGAGACTTATTATTGCTGTGAAAATCATGATGCCAAAATAAAGCTGCATTTCTTGCACCTGTTCTTGGAAATTAGCTCAAAGCAAAAATAGCTTGGACAATTTTTTTTTTTTAAGTTTATGCTTTAAATACTCCTTTCATCACTCATGAAATGTAGTTGGTATGTATACTTATTTTTTTAATCCTCACCCAAGGACATGTTTATTGATTTTAGAGAGAAGGGAAGGGAGGGAGAGAAACATGATGCAAGAGAGAAACATGGATCAGTTGCCTATCATTCCTGACCCGACCAGGACTGAACCTGCAACCTAGTATGTGCCCTGACCAGGAATCAAACACATGACCTTTTGATTTACTGGATGATGCTCCAACCAACTGAGCCACCCTGTATACTTTTTTTTGCATCATTTTCACACTTTGTTCTAACAAAATCAAATGTGAGTATGTAACCTATATTTTTAGTCTTAAATCTTAAATAAAAGGGAATCCGACCACCTGTTCAGCACTGACTTCATCTGTATTATATTCATGTCAAATTATCAGTGGCACTGTAATATGGTAGTAAACACAGACTCGAGTCCCAGAGTCATCTCAGTTTTAGTTCCGACTCTTACTAATTGTATGACCGAGCACAAACCCTGAGCCTCAGCAATGTGACCTAGCCAAATTTGCCTTGCATCCTTAAATCCTAACTTCTATTGAATTACAATACCTAATATTTGATACATCTGTTTGCAGATTACAGGCTTTTGCACACAGATACAAAATAATGAATTACAAGTGAGAAATCATAGTCATCGTCATAATAAAGTAAGATCTTAATACCTTTTTACTTCTTTCTATGAGTGAGTCAGTTATTTCAGCTTTTGATGTTTCACATTTATGTCTTAAAACTGCTACCTCTTTCACCCAGCTAGCCTGTTAAAGAAGTGGTGGTTGAGGGCAGGGAAAGCCAAGGTGTTTCGTATGTGGCTTGGCATGACATTTATACGCTTAAATATTATCTGCAGCATTCTGACTATAATGAGTGCAGTTATGGCACATTCTGAAACTCCTGCCAGTGGAAGCAAGAGTACAGGAGGCAGCAAAAATGGTCATGTCAATATAATTTACAAATGCCTGTTGCTTTGGAGGATTTTTATTCCCCAGGAATAAAAGGTTTCTTACAATGCTGTTGTCTTATAGGGTCAAATTCACAAGTAATTTAACCACTCTGACAAAAGAAACCAGTCTATATATATTTAACAGGCGTACCTTAACCAGAAATTGAAATCTCTAGGGGATTGTTTATTAAGTTGTGGTAAGAGCATCAGTGTTTTTATTTTTTATTATTTTAGAGATGGTCTAAAACCAAAACTAACATAATTACTTTTATTGTGTTTTTTGGTGTGGAAATTATATATTCTTCCTCATACAGGAGTCACCTGTTTAATCCTGTATGTTTCAAGCACTTGTCATTTAAGTTTGGGAGTGAAGGAACTAGTGGCATGTCACTGAAGGAAAAAGGGAAAGTTGAGATTTCCAGTTTTGTTTGAGCCAAGAGGTTGGTTGTTCTGTAGAAAGGTATTTCTTTTTAGCTGTAATCCTAGAGTTCATTAACTATGCATATTTGTTGCGTGTATATAGCTTATATTTTGTGATCAAACAGCGTATAATTGCCTAAACTATACATATGTGACCAATATATAAATTTCACCGAAAAACTTTTTAAATAAAAATTGCCAGGCTGATATGTTTATATAGTTAACTCATTCAGAAGTTGCCCAGGAAACGGACTTACTTCTTCTTCTGTTTGTTTATAATAGCTATTAATTCTAGAATTATTTTGAATCATTGGGTGTGTTATAGATGTTTTAGAAAAAGTGTATATGCTTAATAAGTTTAGCCATAAGCAGTATTGCTTGCGGTTGCATCACTGAAGTCTTTTACTACACATCTGTGACTTATGTAAGACATGTTACTCTATGATATTGCAGTTTTGGAGAGAATCCCTTTAAGTATTGTATAGGATTTGCATTTGTATTTTACATTATTGGGAGGGGAGCTTGTCAGCAGGTAGCCCATTCTTGTGGTCTTTTTGAATTTCAAAGAAATACTATTTCCTTTAAAAAAATTTTTTTTAATTTATTTTTAGAGAGAGAGGAAGGGAAGGAGAAAGAGGGAGAAAAACATTGATCCATTGCCTATAAAATGCCCCCAACTGGGGACCTGGCCTGCAACTCAGGCAGGTGCCCTGACCTGGAGTCGAACCAATGACCTTTCAGTTCACAGGCCAGTGCTCAATCTACTGAGCCACATAAGCCAAGGCTCACAGAAATATTCTTAATCTGTTTTCTCCCTGTAAAAATTAACTTGTTCTTTTTTCTCCCTGTAAACACATTATCATAACCTAAGCAAGAGAGGACATGTGAGCTTTTCGACATGTTTCTCATTGGCAGCTTGCTCTTGAGGGTATACTGAAGGGTAAACTAATACAGAGTATTTTTTTTTTATCCTGTTTCTTGAAAGCATTTCAACAGTGAGCATTGTCTTCATTTTACAGAGAAAGTAGAAATATTTAATTTTTATATCTTATATTTGTGTATTACTTGTGGTTTAAGTTGTG